GTGGTTTGTTCGGCAATTGGCAGTGGATGTGTCCAGTGGTTTGTTCGGCAATTGGCAGTGGATGTGTCCAGTGGTTTGTTCGGCAATTGGCAGTGGATGTGTCCAGTGGTTTGTTCGGGAAGTGTCAGTGGATTTGTCCAGTGGTTTGTTCGGGAAATTGGCATGTGGATGTGTCCGTGGTTTGTTGGCAATTGGCAGTGGGATGTGTCCCAGTGGGTTTGTTCGGCAATTGGGCAGTGGAAGTGTCAGTGGTTTGTACGGGAAATTGGCAGTGGATGTGTCCAGTGGTTTGTTCGGCATTTGCAGTAGATGGTCCAGTGGTGTGTTCGGCAATTGCAGTGGATGTGCCAGTGGTTTGTTCGCAATTGGCAGTGGATGTGTCAGTGGTTTGTTCGGCAATTGGCAGTGGATGTGTCCAGTGGTTTGTCGGCATTGCAGTGGATGTGTCCGTAGGTTTGTTCGGCAATTGGCAGTGGACATGTCAGTGGTTTGTTCGGCAATTGGCAGTGGATGGTGTCAGTTTGGTTTGTTTTCGGCAATTGGCAGTGGATGTGTCCAGTGGTTTGTTCGGGAATTGGCAGTGTGTGTGTCAGTGGGTTTAGTTGTCATTTTACTTTTTGTGTGTCCAGTGGTTTGTTCGGCAATTGGCAGTGGATGTGTCCAGTGGTTTGTTCGGCAATTGGCAGTGGATGTGTCCAGTGGTTTGTTCGGCAATTGGCAGTGGATGTGTCCAGTGGTTTGTTCGGCAATTGGCAGTGGATGTGTCCAGTGGTTTGTTCGGCAATTGGCAGTGGATGTGTCCAGTGGTTTGTTCGGCAATTGGCAGTGGATGTGTCCAGTGGTTTGTTCGGCAATTGGCAGTGGATGTGTCCAGTGGTTTGTTCGGCAATTGGCAGTGGATGTGTCCAGTGGTTTGTTCGGCAATTGGCAGTGGATGTGTCCAGTGGTTTGTTCGGCAATTGGCAGTGGATGTGTCCAGTGGTTTGTTCGGCAATTGGCAGTGGATGTGTCCAGTGGTTTGTTCGGCAATTGGCAGTGGATGTGTCCAGTGGTTTGTTCGGCAATTGGCAGTGGATGTGTCCAGTGGTTTGTTCGGCAATTGGCAGTGGATGTGTCCAGTGGTTTGTTCGGCAATTGGCAGTGGATGTGTCCAGTGGTTTGTTCGGCAATTGGCAGTGGATGTGTCCAGTGGTTTGTTCGGCAATTGGCAGTGGATGTGTCCAGTGGTTTGTTCGGCAATTGGCAGTGGATGTGTCCAGTGGTTTGTTCGGCAATTGGCAGTGGATGTGTCCAGTGGTTTGTTCGGCAATTGGCAGTGGATGTGTCCAGGGGTTTGTTCGGCAATTGGCAGTGGATGTGTCCAGTGGTTTGTTCGGCAATTGGCAGGGGTGTTGTCCAGTGGTTTGTTCTGGAATTGGCAGTGGATTTGTCCAGTGGTTTGTACGGGAATTGGCAGTGGATTTGTCCAGTGGTTTGTTCGGGAATTGGCAGTGGGTTTGTCCAGTGGTTTGTTCGGGATTTGTCCAGTGGTTTGTTCGGGAAGTGTCAGTGGATTTGTCCAGTGGTTTGTTCGGGAATTGGCAGTGGATGTGTCCAGTGGTTTGTTCGGGAAGTGTCAGTGGCTTTGTCCAGTGGTTTGTTCGGGAAGTGTCAGTGGATTTGTCCAGTGGTTTGTTCGGGAAGTGTCAGTGGATTTGTCCAGTGGTTTGTTCGGGAATTGTCAGTGGATGTGTCCAGTGGTTTGTTCGGGAAGTGTCAGTGGATGTGTCCAGTGGTTTGTTCGGGCAATGTGTCAGTGAATGTGTCCAGTGGTTTGTTCGGGAATTGGCAGTGGATTTGTCCAGTGGTTTGTTCGGGAAGTGTCAGTGAATTTGTCCAGTGGTTTTTTTCGGGAATTGGCGGTGGATTTGTCCAGTGGTTTGTTCCGGAATCGTCAGTAAATTTGTGCAGTGGTTTGCTCAGGAATTGGCAGTGGATTTGTCGAGTGGTTTGTTCGGGAAGTGGCAGTGGATTTGTCCAGCGGTTTGTTCGGGAATTGGCAGTGGATTTGTCCAGTGGTTTGTTCGGGAATTGGCAGTGGATTTGTCCAGTGGTTCGTTCGGGAATTGGCAGTGGATTTGTCCAGTGGTTTGTTCGGGAACTGGCAGTGGATTTGTCCAGTGGTTCGTTCGGGAATTGGCAGTGGGTTTGTCCAGTGGTTTGTTCGGCAATTGCAGTGGATGTGTCCAGTGGTTTGTTCGGGAAATTGGCAGTGGATGTGTCCAGTGGTTTTTGTTCGGGAAGTGTCAGTGGATGTGTCCAGTGGTTTGTTCGGGAAGTGTCAGTGGATGTGTCCAGTGGTTTGTTCGGCAATTGGCAGTGGATGTGTCCAGTGGTTTGTTCGGGAAGTGTCAGTGGATGTGTCCAGTGTTTGTTCGGGAATTGGCAGTGGATGTGTCCAGTGGTTTGTTCGGGAATTGGCAGTGGATGAGTCCAGTGGTTTGTTCGGGAAGTGTCAGTGGATGTGTCCAGTGGTTTGTTCGGGAAGTGTCAGTGGATGTGTCCAGTGGTTTGTTCGGCAATTGGCAGTGGATGTGTCCAGTGGTTTGTTCGGGAAGTGTCAGTGGATGTGTCCAGTGGTTTGTTCGGCAATTGGTAGTGGATGTGTCCAGTGGTTTGTTCGGGAAGTGTCAGTGGATGTGTCCAGTGTTTTTTTTTCGGGAATTTGATTGAAAGAAATCCACTTGAATCCACTCGAGTCCCCTCAACTCCACTCGAATCCACTCGAACGCACTCAAATCCACTCGAATCCACTCGGGGAGATGGGGGAGGGAGGCCGAGAGGGAGGCAGGGGAAGAGAATAAATTGTGTGTGATTTTGAGCAGGTTGGGTTGGCTCTCAAAACAGTGGCCCTGCCACACAAAAGTGAGCCGACCCATCAAACGCACAGTTCGATGCGGTTACCGTTTCACAGAGGAATGTTGTTTTGAATGACCAAAGGTGTCAAACTGTTTCAAACACACAAACCATCAGCAAGTTTGTTTTACAGCCCAAATATTTTCTTCCGAGCTTTGATTCACACAAGCAAACATTTAAAACATTCAACATAAACACACACACACACACCACACAATTTGAAACAACAAACGCAATCTTCACGTTTCACTGACCATCAACAAGTCAACCTGACGCTCGAAACCGCAAAACTCGGACAAGTCAGTCTGAGCCAGTCACAAACCAATCTGACACGCACAAATCAATCCAATGCTTCCCACAAGCCGGGCAAAATGTGGCTAAAGCATGCAAAATGGTAGGTTATGTTGTTTTTTTGTTTACGGGTGGGGGTGCCATAAATATATATATATATACATAATATTATTTTTGTACACGCACATTTATGCCGTTTGGATTTGCCAGCAGGCCGTTTTTTGGCTCGAGGACACATGGAAGATCCACCAAAACAGCAACAACTCATTGACCTTGGCACCTCAACAGCACCCCATGGGACTGCCAGTTGCGTGTTGCGCGTGATTGGTTCCGCCAACATCTTGCCTTCATGCGTTCACCCATGGCGAGACGGCGGGTTGGGAGCATGGCGGGTCGGGACAGGTTGGCTGGCAGAGGATTAGAGCACTGATTTGGGCGAACCGTACTCATTGCATGCATTCACCAACCTGAAAGAAGTGATCACCAAAGGACACTCCATTGCGAATTTTCGGTCGCAACCCCCGCGCATGCGCCTTCGTTCCTTGTTGGCAGGTTATTGCGAGACCTTAGGGTTGCACGAAAATGTCACACGCACAAAAGGCATTATTTTGTTTGGGTTGTTTTGCACAGTTTTTGTGTTCTTTCTCGACAACTGACTTGCTCACAAGCATACACATGTGTGAGATGATGTTGGCACGGGAGAGAGAGTACCGCGCCTGCCGGCGCCTTGGCTCTCACTGCCTTGCGATCCGTGAGCACGTGTTCCTGCCTCTTTTGCGCTGCACAGATCATTACCGGGTAGACCGTTTTGACATGGGTATTGAGTGTTTGATTGAGGCATTCAGCAGGGCCATGATTGTATTCCTCAGGCTTTTGGTCACAGATCCAACCTGCGATCTCACCGCTCAAATCAGCATGCGTTTCATAGCGATTTTTCAGGGTAATGGGTTTCATAATTTTCATATCTTCCATCACTTGCCTCAACAGTTTGTTCATTCAGGCTTATGGGTATGCTCCCAGTTTTTGGAGAGATCGGTTTTGCAAAAAGGTGATGTTTGGCTTCCCAGCCACAAGCAAAGGGGGCAACAGGGTCAACCGTTCGGTTCGCGTGCCGCATGGGACATGTGAGCTTCGCGAAGCTGGCCGAGCCCTCAGCTAGCCAGCACTTCCCTTTGCACACGGAAGCGTTCGAAGCGTTCGAAGCGTTCGAAGCGTTCGAAGCGTTCAACCGGATTTTCCAATCGTGTTTGGGTTTCCCTTTTTCTTTTTCTTTTTTTCGGGGGGCATTCTCAGTGGCCCACTTGAACATCTCGTCTCATTTGTCGATGGTGCTTCAGTAATTGTATGAGGTTTTTGGTTTGGTGTGTGTGAGAGAGTGTGGCATCTTTTGGGGATTCTATGGGGTCCGTCAGTCACCCCTTGCACAAAAGTTTTAGGATACTCTCATGCGCAACAGCTGGAACACACCCCAATCGCCGGCTTGGATCTTTGTTGTTTAGGGGTTTCAAATTACAGTTTTTGTTAGGGGTTGCTTTGGATGCCGGGTTGCACTGTACCTCCGCCCTACCCTGTTACACAAGTACTAGCAAACGTCATGTTATTTTGGTTTTTCAGGGTCAATAAGCAAGCTGCAAGCAATGGAGAATTGGGAATGAAGCTGTTCCTGTCCACGGCAGGCACATTCGGCAATTGTCTCCGGCAGGCCTTGAGATCGAAGGGGTTGATTTGCTGGACTTCCCCCCAAGAGGGCAATTTTCAGCTTGGCGTGGGCTGAGCACTTTCCTCAACCTTCGAAGTTTTGAAAAAGTCTCCCGGGCCGCGGATCAGGGAGTATCCGTAATCCCAAAAACCGCTGCGACATACAGCGCTGCAAAGCACAAGCACAACAATTGCGTCAACGCAGCAGCGATCAACAAGATACCGCAGGAGGAGCATTCAATCTTAGGACCGGAGACATAGCCTTGAGCTTGGCTGCCGCTGGATGAAGGGACATGTTCCCTCTGCCAACATATGACTCCAGGCAGCATCAGAAACTTAGATGAAGGTTAGGGGACAGTCCCCACCAGGTGCGGAAAGGTGCACTGATTTTCGCCCTGTTTTGGGTAGCCATCGGCTTTGGGTTCTGACAGTTTGTCAGTTGCTCGCTTTCGATTTCCGCCATCGGCGTTTGAGGCGGAAGCGGCCGCAAGAAGCCCAGGCCGGGGACAGCCATCAAGCCCTTGGGGAAAATTAGACAAGGGTCGCCAGGGAAGGACCAAGTACTCAGAGTGGTTTGAGGGGTTCTGGGTGGAGTTGGATGGCGTTTCTTTTGGTGTTCTATTGCGGGACTGCGCCTCTCCCCAGCTTGTCCCGCCTGCTCGTTTGTAACGTACTCAGAGTGTGTGATTACGCGCTTGATCATCGCTCGGTCGTTTGGACAGTGCTCGCAATGCCCCATAGACAATAGGATTGCCGTGGGTGGTCATATGTCGGGAGGGCTGCGCCCATCTACGAGCCCTTGCTTACTTTCAAAGCGTTGGAGTGTGTTGGCGGACCAAGCTTGCTTCCTGTTTTGCTTGCTAGCTCGCTCGCTCGCTTGCTTGCTCGCTTGCTTGCTTGCTTGCTTGCTTGCTTGCTTGCATGTATTGCAAGCTTGATCTTTGATTGCCGTTTTGTGTGTCAATCCTGTGCGTGGCGTTTGGATGTTTCTTTGTGTCCTCATGGGCCGTGGCCGGTGAGTAGGCGGGAAAGAGCATGAATCCCCTTCAACGTAAGAAACGGTTTGTGCGAAGAGGCAAGTTAACACACGGCTGAGAGGGGCCAGCGCGATACCGGACAAAGGTATTGCACTTGCCGAGCATTGCACCCGGATTGAGGCGAACGTGTGGAAAGCAGGCAATGCAAATGGAGCTAGTCTCAAAAGTATCAGTTCCCGGGGGTCAGATATGTCTAGCTTTAGAAGGCTTTAGGGCATTTTCCCACGAGGCCACATTTCTGAAAGCTAAATGCGATACAAAAGCAGAGAAGTACAGCCCATGGCATTCTCTAGCAGCGGAGACCTGCGCGTGCCTAGCATGTGTCCGGCATGTGTCTAGGTGTGCAATCCTGTTACGTGCCTCAAAACCGAACATTACATGGTTCTGGCATATGCTTGATGTTTGTGTGTGTGTTTTGCGGGTTTGGTTATGCTATCTTGGGCATGGACGCTACAATATCGCAGCACTGTTCTAGTGCAAATCCGTATGTTTAGATTGATTGACACAGCCCTGGACTTTGTCTGGCATGTGTCCAGCAAATGGCTATTGTACACCAAGTGTTTGTGTTGGTTTCTGATTTATTTAACTCATTTTTAGTATATGTCCGGTTGCTTTGCAAGTCTGCGTGTGTCTGGCGAATTTCATGTCGTCTATTGTATTCTACTCCCATTGTACCAGGACATGTTTCGCATATGTTTTCAAGCAAGAAGCACATCCCTGGAATATGTTGGATGTTGCTAACATTGTGTTTTTTGGTATGTGTGAAGTACATGTTCAGCCATATTGCACAATCCTATCATGTGACTACGGGAATGGTAATTGCGGGAATGAGGATGACACTGTCGCGTTTGTAAAAATCGAGTATGTTTGCATTGTTGGACATGCGTGAAGCATTTTGAACTTTGCAAGACAACAAGGAAACAACAGCTTCAGTATGAGTGGCGATGTGACTAGGCATGACATTTTTCTGGAAACCTGAGTTTATAGTTGCCTTGTTTTGCAAACTTGCTTTTTGCACTTTTTGGAGAAGTGTGAACACCAAGATGCTTCCAAGAATAGGAAGCCACAGTTTCCCTAGAATGGAGGACGCCTGGCATGGCGTTTCCCTGGAATTGCGGTTTCTTTGTTTTGGGTGAACAGCTCATTTGTTTGTTGCATGTTTTTCTTGAGACATATTCCCAGAATACTGACACATTGTGAACAAAGTGAGACATATACACTCACACGGTGAGGAAGTCAAACACAAACGCACTTTACTACGGCGTCGTGTTCTGTTTTTTTGTTTGTACTTTTTGTGAGTGAACGAGTCAATACAGGGGACAGAATTCACAAGCTTGGGCGGGGGAGGGGGGGGCGGGGAAGGGGAGAGTTAAAGTGTTGATGTATTAACCAGGTGGGCACTCTGGCTCACAAACAAGCTTCAGCCTTCAGACTGCGCAGCCCCCATCTCTCAGTAAATCCAATTTTCAGCTCGTATTTGCCGAGAAGCAATTCAGACGACAAGGCCCTCTCAGACTCTCGGACCACCACTATTTGCTTGCCAGAGTACTGATCCTTATCACGACACCCTCAAACATGGTTACTGAACAATAAATCCAACCATCTTCACAATGTCCCCAAGCGGTCTACGTCTAACTGAAAATCATTCTCACTTGGGAGGAGCAGGGTTCTTGTTTGATTCTAGTGCTATTTCCTATTAATTTTACTACTACCTTGTTGGATTGGGTCCCAGCTTTTCATCCTCATCATCCTAATTGCCCATTATCCACCACAGAATCCGACCAGTCTAAAATCACAGCCCTTTTGGGAGAATTCCCAAATAGGTGGTTTGCCTTTGGCTTCCCACCATTCGTACCTTCACGGGGCAAGGGGACGATGCGATGGCTATCATGGTTGCGCTTGCTTTACCGGTGCCCATCGCGTCTTTGGCTAGCCCTGCTGGCGACTTGCATGCTGGCAGTGTTTCCCATGCTCATGCACGAGACCAAGGACGGAGAGGGATTGATCCTATAGTGGGTGCTCGGCCGCTCTGACAATCGCGATAGCTGTGACAGCCAAGTGGCAGATCAAATTCTGATCCCGCCAATCGCCCCCAAACTGGCAGCGACACCCGAGGACACCGACACAGGCCAAACTCTGACCCAGGAACCGATGGTGCCCGAGGCGCAGGAGCCCGGCCGCCAGGGCCGCCAGGGCCGCCGCCAGGGCCGCCGCCAGGGCGGGCCGCCGCCATGCAGGGCGGGCCGCCGCCAGGCGGGCCGCCGCCAGGGCGGGGCGCCGCCAGGGGCGGGCGCGCCAGGGCGGGCCGCCGCCAGGGGCCGCCGCCAGGGCGGGCCGCGCCAGGGCCGCCGCCAGCCGCCGCCCAGCGCCGGGCCGCTGCAGGGCTGCCGCCAGGGCGGGCCGCCGCCAGGGCCGCCCAGGGCCAGGCGCCGCCGCCGCGCCAGGGCGCCGCCAGCCGCCGCCAGGGCCCGCCAGGGCGGGCCGCCGGCAGGGCCGCCGCCAGGGCCGGCCGCCGCCAGGGCGGCCAGGGCCGCCAGGGCCGCCAGGCACGGTGTAACTTGCGCGGCATCCGCGCGGTCTCCGTGTCCCTCCGCCAAACTCTCAACGGTCTCCAAACAGAAAACTCAAAGACACACTTTCA